GGAACTTCTTCCAGGTCTCCCACGCGGGTGCAGGTTCCCAAAGCTTTGGGCCGTCCTCGACTGCTTTCCCGGGCCACAGGCAGGGAGCTGGAAGGGAAGCGGGGCTGCCGGGATAGAACCGGCGCCCAGATGGGATCCCGGGTGTGCAAGGCGAGGACCTTAACCACTGTGCCACCGCACCAGGCCTACATCCTGATTTTGAGGCCTGTCCTGGAAGAGTCCTCCTCGCTCCGTCATAGTTGCATGTTACTCCCTTGTATGGCTGTTGCCATGTGTACATCCATTCACCAGCTGGTGGACAATCGGGTTGGGTCTGCGTTTTGGCGATGGCAGCGTGAGGTTACGAACACCCTCGCACAGGTGTCTGTGGCTGTGTGTTCCTAGGAGAAGAGGTGCTGGGACCTTGGACCTTTTGTCTGACTCTGCGAGGAGCCACCTCCCCGTGTTCCACAGTGCCTGCGCCATTTCGCTGCCCTTGAGCCGCAGCTTCTCCCAGCCATGGCCAGCACTGACAACCAGCCACCTGCTGCTGTGTGATCCGGGCCGTGCCAGTGGCTGTGACGGGGTGTTGTGTGGTGGTTTGCCTTTGCATTTCCTTGATCAATAATGTTGCACATTGATTCATGTGCTTGGGGGTGGGAGTTGATCCTCTTTGGGGAAACATCAGTTCAAATCCTGCGATTTTTATTTAAGATATGTTATTTATTTGAAAGGCAGAGAATGAGGACTGAGGGGAGGAGAGAGATCTTCTCCCACATGGCAGCAACAACCAGGGTAGGATTAGGCAGAAAGCAGGAGGCAGGCGAGTCTTCGGGGTCTCCCATGTGGGTGCAGGAATCAACGCACGAGGACCGTCTTCTGCAGCTTTCTCAGGCACGTTAGCAGCAAGCTAGGTCAGAGGTGGAACAGCCAGGACAGAACTGCAGCTGATGCCCATATAGGATGCCAGCATCTCTGGCACCAGGTTTACCCACTAGGCCACACTGTTCATCTTTTTAAAGATCGTTTATTTATTTGAGAGAGTGGCAGAGAGAGGCAGAGAAAGAGAAAAATCATTTGGTTGACTTCCCAGTGGCATTCCAGAGAGGAACCAGCAGCTGCATTCGGGGGTCCCCTGTGGGTGCGGGGCCGTAAGCTGAGCCGTCCTCTGCTGCCCTCTCAGGCACATTGGCATGCAGCTGGAGCAGAAGGTGCAGCAGCCAGGACTTGAACCAGTGTTTCTGTTTGGGATGCCAGCTTTGTAGGTGCTGCCTGAGCTCATTATGTCACAGTGCTGGCCCCTCCTTTCTTTGCAATCTTCTTTATTTGTACGTATCAAACATTTATTAGTTGGAGCGCATTGAATGTAGTTGGTAGATCCTCTTGTGAGAACACAGCAGGACTCCCCTCCTCCCTCTTGGCTTGTGTGTGGAGCTGTTGGCTCTCGTGAGTGCAGCAGAGAATAGCTGAAACCCAAGCAGGTGACTGTGGTGCAAGGTCCCAGAGCCAGGCTGCAGCTGGGCCCTGCAACTCCTCACTGAGGTCCAGCTGGACTGCTTTGTGGCTGAGCTGTCGGCCAGGGTGCCACGGGGCAGATCTCAGAACAGACAGGAGGGAAGCATCATCCAAACCTCCTCCTGCCCACAGGTGCACCTGACAAGGCTGGGTGCATGGCTGGACAGAGACTGCCACCTGCCGGAGGAGCTGGGCACTGCCGTCAGATGCCTGCTAGGCAGTGTGAGGGGTGGGCTGTGTGTGTCTTTCATGGCCCCTGGGCGAGGGGAGGGTCCATCAGCGCCCCCTCCAACTGTACTCTCTTGTGATAGCAGGCCCCAGAAATGACGCTGAGATGAAGCTTGTTCCTTTCTGGACACAGGTGCATCCTGACTCCCGGGCGCCACCACGTGGGCCCACACCAGGGCCACTTGTCCAGAGACAGTCTACCCTCCCTAAACTGCGCTGTCAGCTCATGCCAGTCACAAGTTGCAGCCCCCCTCCCTCCCTGCTTGTGTCACCAGGGCACCTGGCAAAAACCCCCGTGATGAACAGGCCCGGCAGCAGCAAGCTATCTCAGACCTTGGTCTCCTGGGTCCTCACCCACACTGCTCAGAGGGCAACCTCCAACCCGCTGCCTGCCCACTGCCTGCCCGCTGTCCCCCACCTCCCCACGCTCACTTGCTCTCACGCAGTGGATGCTCCCAGTTCGAAGGTCGGAAAGCACGGAGCAGGCTGTCAGTGCCATGGCTATTTCAGGACGAAGCAGCAATGGGTCTGATGTTAGGAACCAGGAACTTCTTCCTGGTCTCCTGTGTAGGTTCAAGGGCTCAAGGCCTTGGGCCTGGAGCAGCTGGGACTCCAATTGGCACCTATATGGAATGCAGGCATTGCAGGCAGAGGCTTCACCTACAACACCACTGTGTGGTCCCAGCATTTACTGCTTTACTTCTCTATTGATACGAAAGGCAATGAGAGGAGCAGGTCTCCATCTGCTGTTGCACTCTCCCAAGTGCCCACAGCTGCCAGGGCTGAGCCAAGGACCCAGAACCCACTCTGGGTCCCTCGGATGAGTGGCATAGACCCAAAGACTAAAGCCATCATCTGTTGCCTCTCGGGATGAATGTTAACGGGAAACTAGAACTGGAAGCAGAGCCGCGACTTGAGACCACGCACTCGGCTGTGGCACTCGCACATCCCAAGCTGCAGCTTAACCCTGCAACCACATCCCCGCCCCCGTATCTCCTCCCACATGGAGCCATACAGTGCTCTGGGCAGCTCTGGGCAGCTCTGGGGAGCCTCATGGAGCCTCATGGAGCTCTGTGGCTCTATGGGGTAAGCTGTGGCGTGGGACACCAGCATTCAATTGGAGCCCCGGTTTGAGTCCAGGGTGCTCCACTTCTGATCCAGCTCTAGGGAAGCAATAGAAGACGTTGAAGTTGGGCTCCTGCACCAACCTGGGAGACCCAGGTGGAGTTCCTGGCTCCTGGCTTCAGTCTGGCCCAGATCTGGCTGTTGAGGCCATGTGGGGAGTGAGCCAGCACGTGGAACACCTCCCTCTCTGACTCTCCCTTCTCTGTTGCTCTGTCTTTCCAATAACCAGACACAGATACAACTTTCAAACAAAGCTTGTGTAGCATGAACAACTGATGACCCAAGCGGTTAAGTTAATTCATAACTTTTGGCAAAGCTGTAGCTCCTCTTGCAGTGTGAACAAGCTAGAAATTGGTGGGTCTTCTTATTCTTGGCCTTACCCAAGGCCAGGAATGGGAGCCACTCCAAGCAGGAAGCAGACGTGCAATGGCTCCTGACCCTCTGTTCCTGAGACCATGTGAAAAAGCTCAAAGCAGGAACCTCACTGCCCCCCAACTTCTACACAGTGACCCAAGGCCTGCAGGTCCTTGGCAATGCCCTGGACCCTTCCTGTCCTTGCCTGGCTCCCGACCTCAACTCCCTGCTCAGGCACATCTGGGAGCAACCCCGCATTGGGTCAAGCAGTTGGGTCTCTGAGACCCACACGGAAGGGCTGCAGTGTGGCCCATGGGTGGCCTGACTCTGGCCACTGTGGGCATTTCAGACCCAGGGTTTTGGAGCTCTGTGAGGCTGGGGACACCTGCAGGGTGTGGTGGGTCCTCAGTGTCCCACAGGACCAGGACCAGAGTGGGTACTGGATCCAGGCTCTGGCAAGCCAGCTCCAGGCCCTTAAGCGGCATCGGTACCACCTGCAGCCTGCTTGTCACATGGAAGGAAGCCGCAGTGGACATGACAGAGCTGATGACAACAAATGCCAGCATGGGTACCCCCTCCCCGGCCCCAGCTGCTGCTGCTGCTTCAGGACCCCAAGCATCTGCTATCCCACGGCTTCCCAGGGGCGGCCCATGTCCTCATGATGACTGGAGATGCTGTCCCAGCCTCGCACATAGGGGGTCATGCAGGTCCCCGCTGCATCCAGGTATAACCTTGCTGGCTGTGAGAACCCAGGGTCCACAGGTGACAGAGACCCTGGCCACGAGGCAGTGGCTGGTGATAGTCAAAGCACACGAACTTTATTTGGCAGGAATGGCGGCAGTTCATGACGATGATGGATTCGAGTACTGTTCCATGTCTGAGGGCAAATGGTGATGGCGACAGGGCCCTGCCCCCGTGGCCCTGCCCTTCCCCTCCAGCAGGTGCAGCCCCATGCCTGGGTGGCTCCTTGCTCATGGACGTCACTCCACTGCCTGCCCCAGCTCACTGGGCCGGGGAGGGGCTGAGCGCGGCACTGACTGCCTGTTCAGACAGTATCACCCGTGCTGTTCCCTACCCCCGGGGAATGCCACACACTGCCACCTGCTCCCGTGACACAAGAACCAAGGTCCCCCTGGGGCTGCATCTCTTTTCCCCCAATGCAACTTGAGTTTACAAGTCTCCACAGAATGAGGTCACACTCACACAGCTCTGTGTGCTTGAGTCAAGGCTTCCCTCCCCTACCCCAGAGTCAGCCCCACACCCAGCCCCCAACAGGCAGGGAGGGTAGTGGCCTTGGGGACAGTGTGCAGACGGAGGGGCTGGGTATAGGGGAAGGGGGGGTGGGCCAAACCTCATGTGAGTTCTAACTCAGGTACGGTGCTGCAGGTGACCCAGCAGATACACAGCAAGAGGCCCGTAGGACACTTTCAAGGGTGGGGGTGGGGGTTGGCTGTGTGGGAATGGTCTTTGATGAACTCATCCTCAGGGGAGAGACGTGTGACTCCCAACAGATGGCACTCATGCCCACCCAGGGACACGGACAGGACCAGGGACGGTGCCGAGCAGCAGCATCTTCCTCCGAGGCAGGCCGGGGCGGCGAGGGTGACAGACGGGCTTGCAGGTTGGGGCTACACTGGTCAGGGGGGCTTGGGGGATGGCAAAGAGAGCTGGCAGCAGCAGCAAGCAGCGGTACAGACGGAGGGTCTCCCTCATTCACATACACACACACACCCTGCCCCAACCCCAGGTTGGCAGTCAAGTTCACGCTGAGGTGGAGCTCACGTTGGGAAGGGTGGCACTCACACGGTGTAAGTTTTGACGGACTTGTAGAGGGGCGGGAGCAGCCCGTGGTTCTCACGCACGACCTCCAGGTACTCGGAATGGGTCTCCAGCAGGAAGGGCCCGCAGCACATCTGGCAGCAGCACCTGACCCCAGAGGGCGGCTCCGGGTTCTTGTCAGACAGGGGGGAAAAGTCAAAATCAGCCACCTATGGTGAACAAAACCCCATGCATGCGTCAATGAGCTGCCCACAGGGAGCCCAGTGGGAGGTGGCCTGGTGAACTCACTGTCCGGCTGGCCCCGGATGTGTGCGCGGAGGTAAGTCACGATGCCTTTGCGGGCACGTCTCCCCCTGTGCCTCACTACAACATCAAGACACCTAACCCACCGCCGCCAGCTCACCCCACCCCAGGCATCCTGGACTGGGCCCCGAACCCTGGCCTGGTGGTCCAGCCCCCACCCTGGCGAACACCCACCTCCACCATGTCCTTCTGCTGAGTGGCGTTTCGCAGGGTCATGTACATGATAAAGGCCAACATCACGGTGATGAGCGTGGCGCACGGGAAGGCAAAGACGGCCGGCTGCAGGCCTGGGAGCGAGACAGGGCAAGTCAAGACACCGGGGAGCTGGTGTCCCATCCCTGGTTCTTAGATCCCTGAGGGCACCTCACCCCTGCCAGGGTGCTTCTCAACTAGGCCAGCCACCACAGGTTAGGGCCAGCACTTGGAAAACAACCATGTCTCCCAGTCAACACAGCCACTCCTGCGAGCCTGGGGTCCGCAGGACTCATGGTCAGCTCCCAGTACAGAGGTGACAGCCAGAAAGACAGGGCCGGCTCTCCTGCCATGAGGCCGTTGCTTAGAAGAAAACTGGTGCCAGTGACTTTTCCTACTGTCTCCTCGGCAGAATTCAGGGAGCCCCAAGTACTCCATGCCCAGAGGGCACTGGAGGTCTCAGGGCCCAAGGCCTCCCCACCCGCCTCCAGTGAGGCCCGCCAGTTCACCCAGGGCCCCAAATGGAACATGGCATCGGCTCTGGCCCTGCAGAGAGCGGAGTGGAGACGAACGGTGTTGGGTGCCCTCCAACGGCCACCCTGGAGGGCAGGGACAGTGGGGAGGCTTTAGTGTGAGCTCATGGGCAGCACAGGGAATTCTCAGCCTGGACAAGAATGCTGCACTGGGTGTCCGGAAGCCTGGCTTTGGACCCAGCTGGTCTCCAGTCCTGTGGCTTCCCTGTGCCTCAGTTCCCCCTTTCATAGCACCAGGCTGGGTGTGGAAAGGCCACTACATAGGGTTCCGGGATCTTTCTCCTCGGTGTAAGGACACGCTTTTGTGAACCCCAGAGTTCCCCAGGGAAATGAAGGGTAGGCCACAATGCAGCCCCCAGTGGCCAGCCCGATGGTGGCGCCTGGGCTCCTGACACTTCCCCCTCGTCCCCCCGGCAGTCGGGCCGTGGCACTGGGAATGCTTGCTTTAATAGTGGCAACAGGAGGGGAGTGAGGCTGACGGTGATGAGGGCAGCAATACCGTGTTCCTGGTGGCTCCTTTGGCATGGGGTGTTGGCATCAGCGGTCGGCGTGGTCTTAGGCATTTGTAGAGGAGATGGTAGGAGCGGTGGGCCTGAGGAGTGGTGTCTGCAGGCTTGGTGGGCGTGTGGTCACAATGGGAGCTGAGTGGCAGTGAGCGTGTGCTGGTGGTGCCTGTCGGCTTGGTGGTGCTGGCCACTGGCAGAGTTTGGTGGTGATGGGGTGGGCAGTGTGGGTCGTTGATGGGGTGGTGGCTGCGTCAGGTTGCTCAACGTGCTCATGTTGGCGGGGTCACCCGTGGACTCCAGCGGGGCTGGCCGAGGAGCGCCGGGTGCTGGCAGCAGGACTGACCGACGGACAGCGAGCCAGCTGTCACTTACTGGAAGGCCACACCTGGACTCGGTGGTACTGGTGCGACTTGCTGATGACGTTCTCAGCCCGGATGCTGAAGCAGTAGTCGCCGGGGTCCCGGAAGGTGTGGGTCAGGTTGTAGGCCATGCTGGCCACAGACACTGGCTGGCACTCCCCTTCCTCCAGTGGCAGGCACTCGGCCTTGAGGCGCCAGCACACGGTCAGGGGTGGGCTGTGGGGCACGGGCACAGGCTTCAGAAACAAAGCAGAGAAGGGCACGGACCCCGGCTGAGGCGGCCTGCCTGGGGAGGCCGGCCTGGACACCCGGCCTGGGTGGGGAGCAGACCTTCCCAGGAGGGGATGCCATGCTGTGCTCAACATCCCATGTTCCAGACCAGCAAACCACATAGAGGTGCAGGTGTTCTGCCCCCACCCCAAACACCCAGGAGGATCCTAGGCTGGCGAGGCCACCTGAGACACCGCTGGGGGAACCAGGGACACATTCTTGAGGAGTAAGATGGGGGGCTTCCCGGAGGAGGGGGCATTCACACAGGCTCTGGAAGGACACACGCGTTGGACACTGGCTCTCTGCCCACACAGGCTCCCAGGCTGGAAAACACACCCCCTCCAAGCTCAATCCCCTGCCTGCCCTTCTCTTCTCAGATGCAGCCTCACCTCACGCTGCTGTGTGCAGGGTTGGGTGGCACGAGAGCCTGGCCCCGACTGCCAACCTCGACATGGGTGTCTCCGAGGGAAGAGAACCCAGCCTCAGAACTCACCCAGAGCCTGGGCTGCTCCTGCCAACCAAGTGGGTGTGCCTGCTCTGCTTGACCACCCCACCTTACCCTCACTGCATGTGACCCTGGGAAGCAGTGGCTCTTGCCTTCCACCTGGCTGTTCCAGCTCCTAGAGTGAGCGGTGCGTGACCCAAACCCCGGGCACTTCTCTCTGCTGGCCTGCCCCCTCCATGGAGGTCCTTTTCCAATAGGCACTTCTCTGCGGCCTTGACACAAAGCCTGAGACCCAAGCTATGACGGCTGGGTGCTGCCCACCACACAGCCACGGGGCAGGCGCTACTTCGTCCCATGAGCTGCTAGGTTGAGGGCCCGTGTCGTGGCATGAGTCATGTTTGGGACACCTGTCACAGAAAGATAGCCGGGGGGCAGGGGGCTGGCAATGGGGAGGGGGAACCGGCAGGGCACTCGGGTGCTCACTCACCTCCCCAGGAAGTTTAAGGTCAGTGTCAGCTTTTGGAAGGTCTGAATCAGTGTGGGTCCCAGCACCTGGATGCCCTGAAGGGTTTCTGGCAAAGCAGAGAGGACTTGGTCAGACCAGGTTGGTAGCTCAGGGCTGCTGCCACCAGAGGTGGTTCCTAGGACCTGAGCCATGTAACTGCCACTCAAGGGAGGCCACGGCACCCGTGCAGCTCGCCCTTCACAGTCAGTAGTGGGCGTGGAGCCAGCTCACAAGGAGGAAGCTGGAGGGACGGGCAGAGTCACCTTCAGAGCCATGGCCACAGGCACTGAGCGATGAGCCATGTCTTGCAGACATCACCACCCTTTTTGGCAAGAACCAGGAGGTTCCCCCTGCCAAGCTGGAGTGCAATGGGCTCAGGTGCTCACTGCCTAAGCAGGGACTGAGGCCTCCCACCAGGCTGGGGGTGGGCAGGGCAGATGTGAAACCGTGCCTGGGCTCTGAGAGTGTGCAGGTCTGGATTCAAATGCCAGCTCCACCACTCGGGCTCCCTTTTAAGTAGGGACGGTGACCAGCACTGCTCAGAGAACTACAGGCCCAAGAAGGCAGCCAGAACATCTGAGCTGGGGCCGCTGCTGGTCTGGAGTGCCCCTGCCACCTTGACGGGCAGGGTCCAGGGCTCGGGGGGAGGGAAGCCCACCCTGCAGCTTCAGTGAGGTGGAGAAGTCACCGGTCTTCTGGACGATGCCCTTGGTGGCATCCAGTCTCGCTTGTTCCCACTCGGCCACCACGTTGAGCTTCACTGTGAAGGTCCCGATAATGGAATAGTTATAATAGACCACAGGGTCCTCCGTCACCATCAGGGTCCTGCGAGAGGATGGAGGGAAGAGAGAGAGAGAGAGAGAGAGAGGACAGGACCGTTTCCCCTTCTTGTGCTCAGAAGGGACACCTGGGACCCCTGAGAGTCTGGCATGGCCAGAGAGAGACATGCAGGCTAGCAATCTGTACAGCTGTCATGGTGGTAGCACCCTCCACCCCCCAGAGCCAGCTAGGACAGCAGCATGGCTGGCCCATTTCCCAGAGCAACAAACTGAAGCCGGGGAGGGCAGGAAAGGCTCTGTTATGGATGGCAGGTTCTGCAGCCCCAGTTAACGATGGGGACAGCCCACCGGCCTCAGCTGACAAGGTGCTCAGCACGGCAGGTCAGCAGAGTCACCCACAGTTAGTTTTGTTCATGTGTATTCACTTATTCATTTGAAAGACAGAGACAAGCCAAAAGAGATCTTGGCACCAGCACCATGCCATAGCACATGAAGCTTCCACTGTGGCACTGGCATCCCCAGGACTGCCAGTTCGAGTCCCAGTTGTTCCACTTCTGACTTATCTCCATGTTAATGTTCCCAGGAAAGCAGAAGAAGATGGCCCAAATGCTTGGGCCCCTGCACCCATGTGGGAGATCCAGAAGAGCCCCCTTGCTCCTGGCTTTGGATCAGTTCAGCTCCAACCATTGTGGCTATTTGGGTAGCGGACCAGTGGATGGAAGATTCTCTTTGTCTCTCTTTCCCGCTCTGTAATTCTGCTCTTCAAATAAAAATAATGAGGGCCCGGCGGCGTGGCCTAGTGGCTTAAGTCCTCGCCTAGAACGCGCCCGGGATCCCATATGGGCGCCGGTTCTAATCCTGGCAGCTCCACTTCCCATCCAGCTTCCTGCTTGTGGCCTGCGAAAGCAGTCGAGGACGGCCCAAAGCCTTAGGACCCTGCACCCACATGGGAGACCCAGAAGAAGTTCCTGGCTCCTGACTTCGGATCAGCATAGCATCAGCCGTTGCACTCACTTGGGGAGTGAATCATCGGACAGAAGATTTTCCTCTCTGTCTCTCCTCCTCTCTGTATATCTGCCTTTCCAATAAATAATAAAATAAATCTTAAAAAAATAAATAAAAATAATGAATGCATTTTTAAAAAGAAAGAGAGAGATCTTGCACCTGCTGGTTCACACTCCGGATGCCCATGACAGTTGCTTGCTAAACCAGGCTGACTCCAGGAGCTGAGAACTCGGTCCGATCTCCCATGGGAGGGTGGGTGTAGGGACTCAAGCACTTGAGCCATCACCTGCTGCCTTCCAGGAACATACCAGAAGGAGGCTGAAGCCGGAAACTGAATCCAGACCCAGGCGCTGACAGCGATGTGGCTGTGCCTTAACCCCAGCTGCCCGCCCACGGGTCTGGGAGGCCAGCTGCCCGCCCACGGGTCTGAGAGGCCAACTGCCCGCCCACGGGTCTGAGAGGCCAGCTGCCCGCCCACGGGTCTGAGAGGCCAACTGCCCATACCTCCTCCCACGCCTGCACCTGCCAATCCTTCATGTCTCTCAGGTGCAGGTGGGAGAGTTGCTGGCAACAGGATAAAGCCAAGTGTTTGGGGGGGCGGTGCAGTCTGGGGAGAAGAGGAGTGTCAACTCTGAAGTGAGGACACACCCAGGCTTGAATCTCAGCTCCAGCCTGACTTTAAGCCTCCCTTGCTCCCTCCCTGGGGATGACAGAACACAGCAGGCGCATAGCACCAAGCTCCTCCCACGAGTCGCTGAGTCACTCAACAGGAACTTTAATAACAGCAGGTGTGTGCTGACGGACTGATGCTCTTTGCATAGGATGGGGTTGTCAGAACTTCGTCTTGTTCCCAGTGTAATGCCTGCTCTGACTTCCCTGTGTGCTGAAACGTTTAATTCTGGTGATACCTGATTCTGGCAAATTTTCCAAGTGTCTATTTTTGCTTTGATTCTAAAAGATCTTTTATCACTGTCACATTATTCGAATACAGCTGTTCCCCTGCATTTCAATCTATGAAAAGTTATGTCTCATTTTTTAACCCCTATAAAATGACCCTTATTAGGGATTGGGTTGTTTTGCGCCTAAATACTCAAATAACTGCCCCAGTACCGTTTATTAAGTGGTTTTTATTTAACTACCTGTACATGCCGCTGTTACCATGGACTAATGTGTCAACAGGTGACGGGTACTGGTGCTATAGAGCCAGCATCCCAGAGGGGTGCCAGTTTGAGTCCCAGCTGCTCCACTTTTTTTCTTTTTAATCGGATATACAGACAGGAGGAGAGACAGAAAGCAAGATCTTCCATCTGTTGATTCACACCCCGAGCAGCTGCAACAGCCAGAGCTGTGCCGATCCAGAGCCAGGAGCCAGGAGCCTCTTCTGGGTCTCCCACATGGGCACAGGGTCCCAAAGCTTTGGGCTGTCCTCGACTGCCTTCCCAGGCCATAAGCAGGGAGCTGGATGGGAAGTGGGGCTGCCGGGATTAGAACTGACACCCATGTGGGATCCCAGCACATGCAAGGTGAGGACTTGAGCCATTAGGCTACCGTGCTGGACCCGCTGCTCCACTTTTGATCCAGCTCCCTGCCATGCATTTGGGAAAGCAGCAGAGGATGGCCCAGCTGCTTGGACCACTGCACCCATGTGGGAGACCAGGAACATGTTTTGGGCTCCTGGCTTCTGCTTGGCACATTCCAGGACCATCGTGGCTATTCTGGGAGAGAATCAGTGGATGGAATCTCTCTGTAACTATGCCTTTTGAATAAATCAATCCTAGACCCCATGCACAGTCCGGGGCTAGGCCCAGAGTCAGACACACAGCCTAGGTGTCCCACATGCAAGGCAGGAACCCAACTGCTTGCTTTATCACCTGCTTCCTCCTGAGGACCACAGGGGCAGGGAGCCGGAGCCAGGGATGGAAGTCGCCTTCTCCGTCTGAGTACGGCTGGCACTTTAGGCTAACTGCCCACTCCAGGAACTGCTTCTCACATCTGTGAAGCAGTGCACTCTCAGTTCCCTTCTCCACCTGTCTTTATTCTTAGTTTTTGTAACTATCCTAAGAGCTCTGCTCGTAGCTCCAAAGCTGTGAATCTTTCTTTGTGTGTGTGACATACCATATTCCTAAAATACCGGGACCATTGTTGTTGCCCCCCACGATGGGTATCAGCAGGAAGCTGGGCCTGGAAGTGGAGGTGGAACTTGAACCCAGCACTGTGCCATGGGCATTCCCAACAGCATTCTGACCACTGCCAAATGCCTGCCCCAAGATACAGGGTCTTTGAAAGTCCAAAATTGGGGGCAGGCACTGTAGCACAGTGCATTAAACTGCCATCTGCAATGCCAGTATCCCGTAAGGGCATGGGTTCGAACCTTGGCTGCTCCTAAACAATTTTTAATGTGTGTATGCATGCGCATTTTCTCATCCGAAGAAATTAGTGCTAGCTTGAGGATTTTATACTTTACTTCTAAAACACAGTTTTGAACTTATCAATTCTGATTTTCTATCTTCTAATTCATGCTTTGGAATTAATTTTTTTTTTCATCCAAATTCTGATGCATGGGATTTTTCCTTCTTCTCACTCCTTGAGGGTTTTTTCATTCTTTCTTTATAAATAAAACACTGAGAGCCACAAATCTGACTCTGATGGCAGCCTCGGACCCACTCTCCACATCTTCATGTGCATCATAATTTTCAGTGACTTTTGCCCCCAAAATTTGCTTTTAAGGGTCTTATTTTTTTAACTTTTTTTTTTATTGGAAAGTTAGATATTCAGAAAGGAGAAGAGACAGAGAGAAAGATATTCTGTCCATTGATTCACTCTCCAAGTGGCTGCAACAGCCAGAGCTGAGCCACTCCAAAGCCAGGAGCCAGAAGCCTCTTCCAGGTCTCCCATGCGGGTGCAGGGTCCCAAGGCCTTGGGCTGTCCTCCGCTGTCTTCCCAGGCCACAAGCAGGGAACAGATGGCAAGTGGGGTCACCAGGACACAAACCAGCACCCATATGGGATCCTGGCACATGCAAATGAGGATTTTAGCTGTTACACTACTGCGCCAGGCCCAAGAGTCTTATTTTAAAGTCCTGACTTGGTAGGATGTGCTTGTGTGCCCACAGGGCCTTAGGTCACCTGCTGTCTCTTGGCCTAAGCTTGAGCACACAGGCAGTTTCCCATGCTTATTTGATGCAACCCCAAATACAATGCTCTGAATCCCTAGGCCCTAGAGTGATTGTATCTGGAGACAGACCCTTAAAGTTTGAATGAAATCACAAGGGCAGGACCCTAATCTAACAGGCTCTGCTGGCTCCTCCCCCTCCCCCAGCCACCAGATTGGCAATCACCCCTGATGCTGTCGCCCGAGATCGCTGGAAAAGCACCTTACCTTGCTCAAGGGCGCTGCGGGTCCTCGCACTGTGGGAGACCTTCACCGGGACAGGCGCGGGGCCTGGCAGCGGTGCGACAGCCGGGATGCTCACGTCCCACTTCCCTGGCTCCTAACCCCAGCTGCTGGGGTTCTGACAAACGCAGACCCTGCTAGTCCAGTGAGAACTGGACTCCTGCTGCCCACACAGCATGAGTTCCTGGGTCCTGGCTTTGCAGCCTGACATCAGCCCCTGGGCTGGAGCCGTTGCAGGAATGTACGAGTGTAAAACACCAGATAGGAGCTTCCCGTCTGTTTCTGCAGTTCTCAGAGCCTCCCAATACATTAAATAATAAGAAGAATAATAAGTAAGCCATAACTACAGCGGCTTTCAGTGATTCTGGAAAGTTCTCTAAGCCTTTAGCTGACCTTCAGTGTGGTCTTGGCAGCATAGCACCAGTTTTGTAGCTAGGGTCAAAGGTCGAGGAAATGAAGCATCTGTGGCAGCTGCTGGGCAAAACCCCTCCTCACCCTGGCCTTCCCTCAAGGGGCAGCTGGGATGCCATGGCCTCCTTTAGCAGGCCATGAACCTCCTGGGCAGGTTCACCCAGGGACCCCGAGGCCTGGCCCTCAGCAGGTACTGGAGGAAGAATGTCTGGGGAGGGGGTGGGGAGAAAGGAGGAGGGGAGAACAAAACAGGGCACCTGCACGGGCCAAGGGGCCAGGGACATACCCGTCTCCAAAGTCCCAGCTGTAGAGGAACGAGGCGCTCTTGAAGAAGTCGCTGGGGTCGTGCAGCAGGAAGGAGACTTTGAGGCCCATCCTGGTGAGGTAGGAGCTGGGCCAGGGCAGGGAGCTGTTCTGGGTGACCACAAGGTTCCCCACGAGGGAGTCTGTGAGAAACAGGGAAGGGTGAGTCCAGGGAGGTAGAGGCGGCCGGGGACCTTGTGGGCAGGGCAGGGTGGGGGACAGAGGACCCCACATGTCCCTCCCCGCTGTGCAGATGCAGGTGAAGAAGCACGGTGCACAGCATGGGCATGGCTTTTGCTCCCAGCACACTCTCCTTTCGCCAGGACCCCGAGCCTCGGTCACTGTGAGGACCAGAGGGACAGGCTCAGTTGAAGGGAACTTGGGGGAAATAGTTCAGAACGTTTTCTGAGTCCACCAAGAAAACAACACTCCATGCTGATTTTTTTCTTCCCCTACCAGAGCCAAAAGTGAGGCATGCTCAGCAGAGCCTCATTGGGTATATTCAAATGTAGGATTTTTTTTTTTTTAAAGGAACGAAATGGCCTACCATTCAAACACTACTAACCCTGACATGGCGAGGAATTTAGAGTATTCCATATGTGCTTCACATATGTCTATGGCAAACATGACTCATCAAATTTATTCTACAGTTCTGTGTTTTATTTCACAAATACACACATAATGCCCAGACACCACAGAGGACAGCACACTTCTTACAAGGTGCATAAATGCTCACGGCGCATTCAACCAGCCCCTAAGGCTCCAGACTTAGGAATCTTTCCTTTTGCTAGTTTGAATACCTGAGCACACAAAGCATGCTCTAAGCAGAAGTTTGTTTCCTCAAGATGACTTCTTGATTGGGCTGTCAGTTCTACAAGGCTAGGAGGAGAGAGAGCTGTCAGAATAAGACAGACAACTGACAGAAGATAAAGAAGATACAGGATAGAAAAGACAGAAGGTAGATACAGGTGACAGATAAAACATACAGAGAGAGATGACAGAGAGACGGGGGAGATAGGAGAAAGAAGTAGTGCATGAAAGCGTGGACCAAAGACTAGAGTAATTCACACCCACGAATACACAGCCATCGGCTGCGTAACTCGTCCCCCGGGCAGCCATGTGTGCCGTCCGAGTCAGCACAACCTCTCCAGCAATGCATGTTCTGACCACAGAGAAAGAGCCCTGGCAGGGCTGCAGTGGGGGGCTGCCTCATTTGCCTTCCCTTGATTCACGGTAGGCTGAGTGTTCCCTGCTACACTGTGCTGTTTGGGGCAGACCAGCCAACGGGACAGCTGCCCCTGTACCTGTGATGGAGACGACGGTGAAGCTCCTGGTCACCGGCTGGCACATCCAGCAGTCGGTGGCAGTGACCCACACGGAGACGGGGAAGTCGCCAGGCAGGTGGCCCACCAGGCGGATGGTGGAGGTGAGGTCCTTCTCCATCTTGCCGGTGAGCATCAACGGAGTGTGGATCCAGTGGAAGCGGTACAGGTGAGTGTCGGGGGCCATGGCCAGGCTGCCATTGTCCTTGGCCACCAGGCTGGCTGAGATGGTCATCTCTGTTCCTGTGGTGGCCGGGCCATCGGTGGTCAGATTGAGCTCATACAGGCCTAGCGTCCAGAAACAGACTGTGTCTTAGGAGGGGGCTTTTCAGGCAGACCAAGCCCTGGGCAACTCAGGGGACAGGCCTTAAAGGTCACATAAGGCTAATGACTGTCAAACTTGGCTCTAAATGACAGCTTCTTAACTATTACCAAGTTGTATTTTTTTTAAAAATTGTTTTTATTCGAAAGGCAGATTTATAGAGAGAAGGAGAGAGTGAGTGTGAGAAAGCTCCCTAGACAACTACAATGGCTGGAGCCAAGCTAAGCTGATGCAAAGCCAGGAACCGGGAGCCTCCTCTGGGTCTCCTATGTGGGTGCAGGGTCCCAAGGCTTTGGGCCGTCCTCCACTGCTTTCCCAGGCCACAGCAGGGAGCTGGATGGGAAGTGGAGCAGCAGGAAGAACTGCCACTCATATGGGATGCCAACGCTTGAAGGTGAGGATTAACCTGTGAGCCGAGGAGCTGTCTCCCCATCTCCTGCTCGCACTGTGCTTCCTCCTGACGTCAGACAGGCTACCTGTGTGGCTCAGGCATGACCAGACCACACCTGGACTTAGGAAAGTGACCGGTGGTCCCTTGGAGGGGGGGAGCTGGAGCTGTCCCTGCTGGACAGCTATTATCAAGGAAGCGCCACCACTCACTCCCCTATGGCAGAGGGTTCAAATCGTATGCATGGAATGGGAGGGAAAACACAGAGCTTCCTTCACCCTCCCTGCTGTGGGCAGCTGTGGATCACCAGCAAAGGTCTATGGCCTTCCAGGCAGACCCCGTGAGGGCCCTGTGTCCCCTGCTCCCTTTCTCCCTTGGTTGCACTTCCAAGTCCATCATGGCCAAGATTCTGGCTTCAACCTGGTCTAGCTCTAACTCTTTTTTTTTTTTAAAGATTTATTTTTATTATTTTTTTTATTGGAAAGTCAGAAATACAGAGAGGAGGAGAGACAGAGAGGAAGATCTTCCATCCAATGATTCACTCCCCAAGTGAGCGCAACGGCTGATGCTATGCTGATCCAAAGCCAGGAGCCTCTTCCGGGTCTCCCACGCGGGTGCAGGGTCCCAAAGCTTTGGGCCGTCCTCGACTGCTTTCCCAGGCCACAGGCAGAGAGCTGGAAGGGAAGTGGGGCTGCCGGGATAGAACCAGTGCCCATATGGGATCCCGGGCGTGCAAGGCAAGGACCTTAACCACTTGCGCCACCGCGCCGGGCCCTAGCTCTAACTCTTGTAGCCATTTAGGAGTAAACCAGTGGATGGAAGATCTTTCTCTCCCCCACCTTCTCTATAACTCTGCCTTTCAAATACATGCATACATACATAACTAAATAAATTAATTCCCACTATAGCAGTAACACAAAAAAATCTTCAAAAAGTCTGTGGAAGGAGTTGGTGTCACGGCATAACAGTGTAGGCTTCCACCTGTGGCACTGGCATCCCAAATGGGCACCGGTTTGAGTCCTGGCTGTTCCATTTTCCATCTAGCCCCCTGCAGATGCGTCTATGAGGACAGTGAAAGCTGGTCCACGTCCTTGGGCCTCTGCACCCACGTGGGAGACCCAGGAGAAGCTCCTGGTTCCTGGCTTTGGATTGGCTCAGCTCTGGCCGTTGATCGGGAGTGAACCAGCAGATGGAAGATCTCTCTTTCTCTCTGTAGAAAACAAAACAAATAAAAGCCTACCTATCAAATAGAAAATAAATGAGTTTAAAAAGAAAAAAAGACAAGTGGAACACCTGGGCCTTGAGCCGATGCCCACACAAGATGCCAGCCTTGCAACCAGCAGCTTCACCCGCTGCACTGCAGGCTTGGCCCCTGCACGCAATTCTGCATCACGCTGCTGTACCTACAGCACGCCCACAGCATGTGACACGTTCAAGATCATCCCACAAGCCGGTGTATCCCAATCCCATAATCCCTCACTCTTGCCAACAGAGTACTGCGAGGCTCCGAGCGTGCCATCACTCCTGCGACTTGGTTCTTCCTGCAGGACGTGATGCCCAGGAGGGTCTCAGGCTTCTGGGGAAGAGAGCCAGAGCAGGCTGGACAGCAGACAATCCCCGGTCCCCACTGAAAGCCACCAAAGTGACCCCTCCTGTGCCTTCCAGTGCCGGGGATGGACCTGCCCTCTGAGCTAGTACTGCTCATGTGCAACTACATTTGAATGACAATCCAATCACCTCTAAAGGGAATGGAGACCAAAAACTCAGCTGCACTGGCCACAGTGTCAGAGCTAGAAGCTGCATGTGGGTGGCAGCTGCTCTCCTGGGCAGGGGACACGCCGTTGCCTAGATCTGTCAGACCGTGTGGGTCTCATCCCTCTGGGTGCTTCCTCGTCTCTCGCTCTCTGTCATCCCGACTTCTGTCAGGCATCCTCTCCCACCAGGGACAGTGCCCTCACCTCATCTCTGGCAACCTGTGTGGGTTCCTGCTCCATACCCGCCTGGTTCCTGGGCCACTAATGCAGCCCTCAACCGAGGCCCCCGACAACAAGCGTCCCAGTTTGAACCAGCACAGGGTGGCTTTCCAACTCACGGCATCCTTGCTGCAGCCACTTGAACTCTTGCACGCAGCTGCCCCCACGGGTTCTGCCCTTTGCATATACTGTCCCACAACATCCTTCCCACCTGCTAGCCTGTGGGGAACACCTCTTCCAGGAAGCCTTCCTGGTCCCTCTCACCCAACAGCTCGAACATACCACCATCATCATTCCACGGGGAACCCAAAGTTTCCACATCTCCCCATGCATTGTCTGGAGCTCCTTGAGGGCCGAACTCACTTTTGGGTCCCCCATGGACCAGCAGGTTTGCCATGTTGGCTGTTGCTGAGGCATCAGGCACTGTTCCAGGAGCTTGCCCACCCACTCAGTTGCTACTGACCAATCCCCTGACCCTACCAGTGCCAGGGTGTGGGGGTTAGAATTCTCAGACTCCTGCCTGGAAGGAGCTCACAGCACACCTGTTAAGCTTTCAGCAGAGACAGGAGGTCAGCGATGGGGCTCCTCTGGCTCACAGCAGCTGGGACTCAGGCTCTGGTCAGACCTCTTGTCCATGTCATGTGTGTCCCTGTTCGGAATCTCTTTCCTTCATGGATGTGTCTTACACAGTCATTCGAATCCAGATGCCAAGTGCCAGTGCAGTCATCACCCCCGGAACGCCCCACCCCTGGCACAGCGGAGGAGGCTTTTCCAAGGAAATGCATGTGTCACACTGGGGGACCCAAGGCCAGCAGGGGCCACCCAGCTCCCACCCCCAGCTGCACTTTCCCCCTTTCTGGCGGGAAGGCAGTGTCTGGGCAGGCTGCTGGGCTCCCACCTGTCCCCTCCCTTCTCCCTGGGCTCCTAGCCCCCTCCATCCTACCGCCTCTCAAGTCAGGAAGCGTGGGCCAGAGCGAGGCTGGCAGGTGGCAGGGACATTCAGCTGCACGCTAATGGCCACCCAACATCCACAGCGAGCCGGGCGCATGTCAGCTCCATGTCAAACCGTTGCCAAGGGAATGGGACCAGGAGGGCAGCCAGCTGGGGCTGCCTGGAGGGAGGGGCGGGGCACAGCAGCTGCAGGCTCCATCCAGCTCTGGGGAGCCCCACCCCCTTTAAACTACCCAGCCGCCCGGCAGCTCCCAGGTCACTTGCGTCCCCTGCTGGCTTTGACTATGATCTCTGGGAGCTCAGTGGCCCAGCTGAAAACTGCCAGACGTGGCTGAAAGAAGCAAGCCCAGTCTCTTGCTGTCCTCATGCAAATTCATGTTCCCAGGCCCCTGCAGCGGCAAAGGCAGGGTCTAGGGCGGGGGAAGGAAGTAGGGAGCGGACTCCACAGGTGGCCTCAGGCATGCCAAAGCTGAGGGGACCAAAGCAAACAGGGAAGGGGCCACTTTCCCTCCCCTCAACCTGGCACGGGAACAAACTCCCCTGCTTCCAGGGCTTCCAGTGTTCCAACACTGACCAGCAACACAGCAAATGGGGTTCTAGAAAGCCACTACACCAGTTCTCCAGCCCATGAGTTGGCGTGTTTCTATGATGACCCATGGTGCAGCTCGTGGCCTGGACATGCCAATCCCTGCAGTGGGAGGCGCCCATGAGGCCTGAGGGGGCTTTTGAGCCCCCCCCCCCAAATTTCTGGGTGTCAAAGGTGCACTGCACCCACCTGTGTGTCACGGGCCCTGCTGAGAAGGGAACCACTCTCCTAATTTGTTCTCCGTTCTGGGCACATTCCAAACCTGCAGACTACAGACCCCCACCTTTCTCTGATTCTGGCTGCAGAGGACCTCCTGGGAGGACGACCCAGTCCCTCTTACGGATGGCCTGTCCTGGTCAGCCCTGCATGAGCACCTGCTGCCCACCTGCCCATCCCTCCCCTCCAGTGCGCCAGCAAGGTGGGCTGGGGGGAGGTGGGCGCTCTGAAGAACCACCGTTCAGGATCCATTTTACAAATCACTCCCAGAGGAGAGGAAATGGCCCAGCGGCCTCCTGGGTCGACACTGTAACATCACCCCTCCCCGTTCCAGCTCTCTCCACCAGAAACGGGATCTCTCCGGACGCCCGGCGTTTTAGGGAGAACCTGGAAGGGGGGTGCTGTGGCGCCATCACTTGCTTAGGCACCTTTCACCCCCACCCTCATCCCCGGCCCTGCCAGGCTCTCCCCCGGGGCCCAGGAGGTATCCTCCACCACCACCTCCCCCCACCCCCGCGCTCCCTAAGGGTAGGATGCGCCAGCGTGGAAGTGGGACCCCGGGGGAGGCTCCCCGCCTGCAGCTCCAGGGCAGGGTAACTCCAAGAGGGAGGAAGGGAGGCCGGTGGGGTGCCACTGGGAATGTGGGAGGCGCGCGCCAGGGCACCCGGCGCCACCTTCGCAGCCCAGGACGGGCCCCACAGCGCCTTACCTGCGGCTACCCTCGCGGGGGCTGAGCACAGCATGCAGGTGAGCCAGAGCAGGTGGCCGCGGCGCGACCCCACGGCCGGGGCCATGGCGGGACCCCCAGCGAGCAGGCGAACGGAGCGCGGCCCCGGGTTCGGCGGCCGCTCTGGTGAGCTACGTGCGGGCGCAGCGGCTGGCTCCTCCTCGCCTGGGCCCGCGGTGTCGCTGCGCGTCGCCGCTGCCTCCGCGCGACCCTGACCCACGTCAGCTCGTCCAACGCCACGCCGCGCCCCCTCCCCGCCCACGACCACGCAGGCCACGTCTGACTTAGCGGCTCCAGGGGCACGATCGGACCCCGTGGGGACTCCGCAGGTGGGCAGCCCTCTGCGGCTCCTTGCTTGGCGTTACGGCTCATAGCATTCCAGGGGGCCGAGGCCTGGAGCCCTGTTAGAGTTGGGCCTGGCATGGGTCTTGGTCCTGCACACGCCGGTTCCCACAAGAATCAGCTCCATCCTCACCCTCACTAGAAGGGAACCGCTCCGTGGTGTCAGCTCATGCTACCAAGGCTGGCCTCTTAGAAAATGTAGCCGGGCTAGGCGGATTTAAAGACGCAAATGACCCTAACCAACATCAAGGTCCCAGCTTGACCTCTCGGACTTCCTGGGTCAGCACAGTGCTCAGGCTCTGGGTACTCCTGGTTAGTGCTGCCTGACCTGCTGGCATCCTCTTAAGGATGTGGCAGTGTCATTGGGCATCAGGCACTTAAGTACCTGAGAAATAGAAGACTAAGTTGGGGGAGTTTCAGGATTTAGGACTATTGAGCTTTACCTGAAGGTCGTTTGTGTTTTTAAAAACCTATGGGGAAGCGGGACTAGCACGATGGCTCAACGGCTAAATCCTCAACTTGTAAGCGCTGGCATCCTGTGTCCCAGATGCTCCACCTTTAATCCAGCCCCCTGCTAAGGTGCCTGCAAAAGCATGTCTTCGAAATCCTTGGGTCCCTGCACAAACGCGGGAGACTTAGAAGCTCCTGGATCCGGGATTCAGATCGGCCCAACCCTTGCCATTTGGAGAATGAATGAGTGTGTGGAAGATCTCTCATGCACCTCACTTTATATAACTCTGCCTTTTCAATAAATACAGTAGGTCTTTTTAAAGATTTTTTTTCTTTTTCTTTTTAATAAAAAAAGTGTTTTAATTGGAAAGGCAGAAGAGATTTATGGAGAGAAGAACATTGAGAGAGATGTCCCATCCGCTGGGTCATTCCCCAAATGGCCACGCTGGCCGGCAGCTGAGCTGATCTGAAGCCAGGAGTTTTTTCTGGATCTCCCATGTGGACAGGGTCCATGATTTTGGGCCATCCTCGACTGCTTTCCCAGGCCATAAGTAGGGAGCTGGGTGGGTTTGGAGATGGATTTGTTTTTCTTGGTGAGGCAGATTTACAGACTGGAAAGACAGAAAACTCTTCTGTCTGCTAGTTCATTCCCCAAGTGACTCCAACGGCTGGAGTTGAGTCTATCTGAGGCCAGGAGCAGAAGCCTCCTCTGTGTCTCCCATGCCGGTGCAGGGTAGCAAGGCTTTGGGCCATCTTCCACTGCCTTCCCAGGCCACAAGCAATCTTCACCAGGTTGCTCGGTAGGAAATGAGATTGGGGGGGGGGGGGCATTGGGTGCGTAGGGACAGGTCCTGGGGTACCTGGATGGAGCCTTATGTGTCTAGCTTGGCCCAAGGCCTACCTGCTTTGCAATAAAAACAAGTACATCTTTTAAAAAATTAACAATAGCTGGAATGGTTTGTAGGCCAGCCCGGAAAGGCCACTGTTCCTGGCAGATCTAAGGATGTGGACTAAGTAGTGTGAGCCCACTGACCCAACAGTGTGCAAGAAATTGGCTTTGGGAGAGATTCTGATAGGGGAGCTTGGGATACTATTCTGTCAGGACGCAATGCCTACAGGTGAGCGCAAGAACCACAATAAGGTGCATTCCAGAACCAGACCCAGCAAGGGAAAGGTACCCAGCAACATATATTTGCCATAGGCTGGTGGCAGATTAGGCTGAACCAGTGCACACCACCCACTGGTGAATCTGAGCACCAGGACAGAGTGTGGGTCAGGCCACAACTGGTCACAACACATACCAGTACACAGTACAGCTGGGATTGGGTGCCTACCTGGCTGGGCTAGATTGTAATGCTCACCAGCTGGAATTGGGGCTGAGCCGGGCCGGGCCAGGCTAGAGCACCCACTGGCAAATGCCAAGACAAGGTGGGCTATGCCAGACTGGGCTGCAATACCCAATCAGCACACATGAGAACCAGGGGTGGTGGGAGCAAAGTTGATCTGGTTGTGGGCCCAGGAGGGAAACAGTGTGAACCTCCCTGCTGGATTTTCACTCCCACTGGAGAGCATGAAAACCAGGACTGGGGCAGACCTGGCTGGACAGAACGGCACCCACCAGCATGTGTGTGGGCTGGAGAGTGGGGCTGGATGGGTTGAAATAGTCTTCAGTGCTCACTGATATTTAGAAAAACTGAATGGGATGTGGGACAGACTGGACAAGTTTGCTGTACATACTGGCAAGCAGGGGCACCAGGGCAGGGGATGGGCCCTGTGGGGGTTATTGTAGGTTGCTCTGACTAGGCTGCCGCTGCCACTGGTTTGCGTGAGGACTGAGTGTGTGCTGGACAGAACCAGAATGGACTGCAACACCCTTTGGTTTATGTGGAAGACCTGGCTGGAAACGGAAAGAGAACTGACCCAGCCATTGCAGCCACCAGCTGACTGGGGGTGAAAGACTGCACTGGGCCCTCCTATACTTACACATACACAGAAGAATCTGTTCTGGAATCACCTCAGATGAGGTTTCGCTGGGGATCCCTCCAACTGAACTGCTCATCTCAGAACCCTAACCATGCACAGAAGTGCAGGTTCCAAGGTCTGACCATGGAGTGCAAGTGTCAAAGCTGAGCCTCCTCAGAGACTCACATGGAGCAGTGGACAGCATTTCCAGGTGCACGTGGAAGATATGGCAGTGCATCGGAACCTGCAGAGGACACTTGGTACCACAACAGTGGACAGAGGACAGAACAAATCAATTTCCCTAGCCATGTGTTGGCAGTGAAAATTGGGCAAACAAATAGTCTACTCTAAGGTAGACTATGTCAATTAGTGGATTCTGCAGTGATTTCATTGTGCTTGGAATGGTGAGAATGACAGATTCAGAACTGTTGAACCAGCAAAAGCACTTTAGCAGGACCTCTGAGCATTCCCCACATCAGGGACCTGTGATGGGTGCGAGGCTGGGTGCGGCTTCTCCCTTTATCTCCTAATTTACCCCAGAGACAGGGGGAAAAAAAAAGGAATAAAGTGGAAGCAATAGTCTTACCCACTTTCCTGTAGCCCTTGACCCTTAATGCCTTAATCAACTATGCAAAGATTTTCAAAAATAAAGAAAAAAAATAAAATAATAAGAGAAATTTCCCCTAATGTAGAGAAAAAACTGGGAAACAACATCCAAGAAGCACACAGAACTCCCAACAGGCTTAACCGAAAGCGACCTTCACCACAGCACATGATAACCAAGCTGTCCTCAATGAAACATAAGCAAAACATCCTTAAATGTGCATGCGAAAAAAGTTAATGCACATATAAAACAACGACAATTAAACTCACAGGAGACCTCTCACAGGAAACTCTGCAGACCAGAGGAGAATGGAGCGACATAGTACCAATTCTCACAGCAAAAAACAGTCAGCCCACGATGTCGTACCCAGCAAAGCTTTCCTTTGTCTTGGAAAATGAAATAAAATTCTTCCACAGTAAAGAAAAGTTAAAAGAATATTCTTCTTCTAAACCTGCCCTAAAAAGGATATTTCAAGATGCTCTCTTGACAGAGAAGAGGAATAACGCCCAAAAAAACCCAAGGCAAATTGTGATGGACCGGCTCGGCCGGGAGCAATCGGGAGCAATCAGTCCGACGGGAACAGGACCCCGGGAACGGTGGACAAGGATTTGGCGAGTGACAAACAGACACGACAACTCAAGGAAGTTGTATCTGAGTGCATTTTGCAAAAGCAAGGCATCAGCTTATATACAATAGATGATTGCAAAGGGACATTTTCCTTGTTTATACATGTGGTTACATTTCTACAAGCAATTATTCCAGGGAGGTAAGCAGGTGTGTTGAGCAAAGATTGTTCTCTAATAGCTTGGTGACAGCCCGCAGTTGCTATTTCTTGTGGACGCAGTTTGGCACCATTTGACTTTTAATCTTTAAGCAGTTAGCTCTCATTGTGCTTTGTGCCTTACACTGGTTTTAATATTAACTTGCCTATATTTCTAGTTTTTCTTCCTGTATGGCTTTTTAAGCTATAGATTTCTACTATAATCTTCTTTTTAGGAATTCTCAAAAATAGTCCTAAGTAGGTTTATTAAAGCTAGTAACTTGATAGTTTTTATCTCAGACTGCTTGCTATCCTTGTCCAGTCTCCTGTCAGAAGGCTTCATAGAACTATAAAGGAACATTGAGCCTTTGCTGCACATAAATAGTATTATTCCAGCCATAAAGATAAGAGCAAAGAGAGTACAGCTAGGAACGCCAAGACCACTAGAGATGCAGCCGAGTCCAGGAGGCATCCTTCCTTGGAGCTTCCGCCTCGGCCCGGTGATTTCTCACACAGGCTCCACTGGAGGTGGCGTGACAGCAAATGAGAAGAACATCCCAGGAAAAGAACAACAGAAGACTAAATCAATGAACAATCCATTGCTACAAGGACAGCACCAACTTACCACCCATTCATATGAACCCTGAATGGAAATGGCTTAATCTACTCAATCAAACATCATAGATTGTTAGATTAGATTTAAAAAACACCATCTGGGCCCAGCGCAACAGCACAGTGCTCGAAGTCCTTGCCTTGAACATGCCGGGATCCCATATGGTCACTGGTTCTAATCCCGGCAGTCCCACTTCCCATCCAGCTCCCTGCCTGTGGCCTGGGGATAGCCCAAAGCCTTGGGACCCTGCACCTACGTGGGAAATCCGGAAGGGGCTCCTGGCTTCTGGTTTCGAACTGGTTCAGCTCCAGCCGTTGTGGTCGCTTGGGGAGTGAA